CCTCATGCCCACATTCTGATTTGGTTAAGCGAAAAGCTCACACCGAACCAAGTCGACGACATTATTTCAGCAGAAATACCGGATGCTGAGGTTGATCCAGACTTATTTGAAGTCGTTACCAAAAGCATGATCCACGGTCCGTGCGGCGCATTCAACGCACAGTCACCGTGCATGTCCGATGGAAAGTGTAAAAAACGCTATCCAAGAAACCTGCTGACCGAAACAATCACCGGAAACGACGGATATCCACTGTATCGCCGTCGATCGACAGCGGATGGCGGAAAATCCATCATTTTAAAAGTACGGAGAAATGATGTTGAAGTCGATAACTCTTGGATTGTGCCGTATTCGCCTTTACTCTCAAAGACATACAAAGCGCACATAAATGTCGAGTATTGTAATTCGGTTAAATCAATCAAGTACATTTGCAAGTATGTCAACAAAGGGAGCGATATGGCGGTTTTTGCACTTGAAAACGGGGCTGACGCTCACGACGAAATTGACCAATTTCAATTGGGACGCTACATTAGTAGCAATGAAGCCGTGTGGCGCATCCTGTCATTTCCAATCCATGAACGACATCCAACTGTCGTTCATTTGGCAGTCCATCTGGAAAACGGGCAACGCGTGTACTTTACAGCCCAAAATGTACGTGCACGAGCGTCATGTGCTCCAGCGACAACGCTTACTGCATTTTTTGATTTATGTCGACATGATATGTTTGCCAAAACGTTGCTGTACTCTGATGTTCCAAAATACTACACGTGGAACGCAAAAAAGAAACAGTTTCAACGGCGCAAACAAGGTAGGGCCGTTAGTGGACACAACAATTTGTTTTTATCCGACGCCTTGGGTCGTCTTTATACGGTCCATCCTCAAAATGCCGAATGCTTTTATTTGCGGTTATTACTAATCAACATCCATGGCCCGACCGGTTTCAAAGATTTGCGGACGGTAAACAATCGACTCTGCGCAACATATCGTCAGGCTTGCCAGGAATTAGGCCTATTAGAAGATGATACGCATTGGGAAACCACTCTCGCGGATGCATCAAATATAGCTTGGCCATGGCAAATACGACTGTTGTTTGCAGTGATTTTGACAACTTGCTCGCCATCGAATCCAATTGATCTTTGGGAAAAATACAAAAACCACATGAGTGAAGATATATTGCGTCGATTGCGTAGAATCAATCCAGGTGCGGACATAGATTTTTCCCCGGACATATATAACCAAGCGTTGGTGTCCGTTGAGGATATGTGTTTAACTATGGCCAACAAAACGCTAACGCAGTTAGGGATGAGCGCGCCTAACAGAGCCGCACATCCGCTGTTCGATCGTGATTTACAACGAGAAACAGAGTTTAATGTAGCCGAGTTAGCACACTATGTTCACGAAAATCTACCGAAATTGGTTCCAGAACAACGTGTAGCTTATGATAGCATTATGCGTGCAATCGAAAGCCAAAGTGGAGGACTGTACTTTCTCGATGCTCCTGGAGGAACAGGGAAAACTTTCCTACTTTCACTCATTTTGGCTACCATAAGATCACAGGGAAATATGGCATTAGCAGTTGCATCGTCTGGAATTGCGGCAACGCTTTTAGACGGTGGCCGAACAGCTCACTCGGCACTGAAATTACCGTTAAACATACAAAATAATGAGGCACCGACATGTAATATCAGTAAGAACTCCGGAATGGGCAAAGTTCTTCAGTCAGCTCAGCTCATTATTTGGGATGAATGTACGATGGCACATAAAAAAGCCTTGGAAGCGCTCAATCGTACGCTCAAAGACGTACGGGCAAACCAACGGCTTTTTGGTGGTACATTGATATTACTATCTGGAGACTTTCGACAAACTTTGCCAGTCATACCACGCTCTACGCCCGCTGATGAATTGGCTGCGTGTCTTAAATCATCAGTTTTGTGGCTACACGTACAGAAGTTGTGTTTGAAGACCAACTTACGAGTACATTTACTAGAACAGGATGCATCAGCTCAAACGTTTGCTGAGCAGTTGCTTGATCTTGGAAACGGTACAATGCCAACTGATGGACCTGACCACTTCATCACATTGCCTACGAACTTTTGTGTATTCACGGCAACGGCGAGCGAATTGATAGGCAAAGTTTTTCCAGATATTGCACAAAACCATCGAAATATTGACTGGCTGAGTGAACGTGCCATATTAGCGGCCAGGAACATTGATGTGGATGCAATGAACTTGGAAGTGCTAGCCCAAATACCAGGCGAAGCAAAATTGTTCAAATCCATTGATACTGTCCTGAATGACGTAGAGGTAATCAATTATCCAACCGAATTTCTAAATTCGCTGGATTTACCGGGCATGCCGCCGCACGTCTTAACACTGAAGGTCGGAGCGCCCATTATTTTACTTCGAAATCTTAGTCCACCGCAACTCTGTAACGGTACGAGGCTCACGGTAACCAGCATAACATCGAACGTTATAAAAGCCACAATTTTGAATGGCAAATTCAAAGGCGATGAGGTTTTGCTGCCGCGTATACCGATGATTCCGGTGGACGTGCCGTTCGAATTTAAGCGCTTGCAGTTTCCGGTACGGCTCGCATTCGCAATGAGCATTAACAAGGCACAGGGACAAACTCTTAAAGTGTGTGGATTGAACTTGAAAAATCCATGTTTTTCACACGGACAGTTGTACGTTGCCTGCTCACGCGTTGGAAAACCATCGAATCTATTCGTGTACGCACCGGATCGCAAAACAAAAAATTGCGTGTATCCGAAGGCATTAGAGTGAGCAAAATGCGGACCTAATTTTTTTTTTTTACTACTTTATGTGTCAGTAGATAGATAGATAAGAAGGGGAACTGAGTTACATAAGCTTTTATGCTCAGTGGGTTACCAGGTATTCCCTGCTGAGGGCGAGTCCTGGACTACCCGCAGGTGTGGTAAAAACTCCCTGCGGGCGTGCGTAAATGCATTCCCCTCAACCTCTAAAAAAAAAGAAAAAAAAATGGAAGACGTAAAAATTTAATGGAGAAAGTACGCTTTAGGTAGGTGAGAACACTTTTAGATAGTTTAAACATATAGGTACAAAGAGGCCTAGATAGGAGAAAATAGCTTTTGTCTAACAGTATCTACAGAAAGTCTAGGTAGAAGTAAATTCAGGTAAATAGGAGTAGGCCTAACTGTAGATCTCGATAGGATTTTAGCTGTCTTCGTAACGAGTCCACACACATTCCTAGCAGTATTGTACACACATTCGTAGCAGGTCGAGCCGCGCAGCGCTAGGCGCGCGCAGCG